CAAGAATACCATTAAAACCAACGCACGCGTTAAAAAAAAAAACGAATTCAGCCGACGTGAAATATTGAAATATGCGATTTGAAATTCATAAATAAAATTTCCGTGTCAATAAGTTCATTGCTCCCTCTTGGAAATCAACAAACAACTCTCGGCGAGGTGGAAGGATCGCAATTTTTCGAATGTGGAGCTCACATGCTTGGAAGAAGTAATAAAATAATCCGCTGACAAATAATAAAAACTAATGTAATCCACGCGAGAGAGCAAATCAGTCCGAACGTGATGCCCTTGAGAGAAAAAAACACGTGCGTATAATCACTTTACGGCAAAAGGGTTTCAAAAACTTTGATTGAATGCTCCGAAATGGATGTAATTGGCTGGAATTAATGCAAATATGATGGATGGGAATGGAAAATTAAAGGAGAAAAAAAGGCTGGTGACCTCCAGCGACGGCCAGTCCTCTGCGCGCTCCGCTGAATTATATTGTGACTTTTATCGCGGGTTTGTAATTTCATACAGGCGCGTTTTATTTTATGCATTGCAAACTGACTGACTGCTGCTGAGGTGACGAACCTGCCGAGTTCAGCTTTAACGTATGAAAATTTATGAAGTCGCAGGGGACGCACCAGCAACACTCTCGCCGGGCGCCAAGTTCGCCAGGACAATGCACCTCTCTCGCTCGGCATACCTGGCTCTCAATTAAATTTTTTTCAATGTCGTCAAAAACCTGCTCCATTTGAATAAAGGCAGCGAGTAATCCCGTGCAGCCCGCGCAATTACACATCCATATTATACCAGAGTGCTCTGGCTCAGGTCCCAACCCAAGCAGCAGCAATCGAGCGCCTCTTGCATCGAATCTATCAGAGAATGAAAACTAAAATTAGTCATTTTCATACTCAAAGAAAAATTAAATCTTTCATAACTTTTCGCTCGGTTCGACTTTCTGCCTGTTTTTTCCATTTATCTCTTTGAATCGTGTAAATTTGTTCGTAAATATCCGCACTATTTTCAAAAAACAAGAGAAGTTCATAATTAGCAGACACGGGCAAAAAGGGATTTGTATGTTCCTGCTCAGACTTTGTTAATTTCTAAGCAGAACCCTTTGACTTGTTTAGCTGCTTTGTATAACAAATTGCCTGTTTCGATTCGCTTAGAGCCTCGATACAAGATTTTTGAAAGCAGTTTGAGGCGATTTGTTCATTCACATAAATTTTATAGCAGAGAAGAGTTTTTTCAACTAATTGATACATTGTAATATTTTTGTTGTTTTTTACTCTCTATTTTCTACTTGTTGTTGCAAATCAGGCGCGTCGCAATGAGTAAATACATCGTGGTGACGCCTCATACGTCAATAAAGATCAATAATATAATAATAATTTAATTATCTTATTCTAATACAACAAAAATAATATTATTATTTTTTTAATATAACTTTCACAAATTAATTTTTTACTTATAAAATTTGTAATTTTGTTTTAGTATTTAATATAAACATTTTTTAATTTTTTTAAAAATTTCACAATTAATTTAAAATATTAATTTTATTATTACAGTTCAAGAACTAACATTTTTGTTCCAATTTAATTGTAAATAAAAAAAATTATATTAATGCACTAAACTTTGTATCGTTTCATAGTAAATTCAAAATCCAAAGAATCGTCTTGAACCTTGGCGTGCTCCATCTTACATTATTTCAATATTAATAATTGATTGTCAGATAAAAAAAAAGATGTCAACAATAATATTTCTGGTTCCTTATAATATCTAATAATAAATAATTTCTTCTTGGATACAAACATTGTTTTAGACATATTTAAGTTTTACATGGAAGATTGTATTTTTTTCTTTAGAGCTGAATGAAAAATTTTAGCTGAAACAAAAATTACTGGGAGAAAATATTAAATATCTTGATAATAGAATTATTTTCTGCAATTAAACTTATATAGCCAATTTGAGATGTAGTTGAGTATGTTGAATGGGTTTGGATTTATTCCAAAAATAATGTAAAATGTAGACTACAATATTTTAAAAGCTTTTAATTTTTACGGATAATCGATATTCTTTTGAAATTTTAGAGCGGCTTGAACTGAATCCACCAGATTGATTGCTCTGCTGCAAATATACAGCGTAATAGCTCAAAAATACATATTTATTTGAAAAGCATGCTTCATGATCTCTCTCGATTTCTTTATCTTTTTGCTTCTATTTTCCCGTTCGTTGAAATCACCCCGGAGATTCGAATTACCAAAGCATGCAGCAAAATAACAAGTTCTGCAGGGTCGTGATCCAGCCAGAAGCAGAGCGGGATAGGGAAATAGAGATTTTGAGTCATTGGAACAACTTATGCGTCGGAAAACTTCTTTAACTGCGGAGTGAGTAAGAGGAATAAGAAAGAAGAGAAAACAATCAAGAGACGTCGAACGCCGTGGCAGTCTGGAGAAGAGAAGAAGAAGAAGCGAGTTCATCGACCTCCATTTGGTATTACATCTCTGCAAGTTAGTGTGTTACAAAGTGTTCTAGAGTGCATTACCCAGCACGAAAGTGGAGCAAACTGCACTCTCGGAAGCCTCCTCTCTCATACATTAAAAACATGAATATACGGTTTTCGTGTGATCAAAAATTATACAGATAAGAAACATAACAGTCTATTTCTAGAAGTTAACTTTTATATTCAAATTGGTTGCGGTACAATTAAATTTTAGAAATACTTATTTTAAAATAATTTAACATAATTTTTTTGAACAAGTTGACTCTCGAGGAGATGATCATGGAAATGAAGATATCGGGCTTTTCGAATAAAAACAATTTTTTGCACCGAAGGAAAAGCCCGATATCTTCATTAACATAATTTTTTGTTTTGAGTAAAAACACTTTAATTAATTCACGCAAGTTGTTATTATCTGACGTACAAATAAGTCACAATTATTAAACAATTAATCAATCAATCGGCAATCCTATAATATATGTTCTCGCATATAATAAATTACCTTCCTCTATAGTTTTTACTACAAGTTATTGTAATTACTGACAGTGTAATTATTGGAAAACGTTTGATATATAAAAACCTCTCGCCTTCAGCTGCATTTGTACTTAAGATCAATGCACTTCTCGGTCTATGATTATATCCGAGTAAGAAAATCTGCACGAATGCAAATAAATTGCACAGCCGCATGCACTTGCGGGCATGAAACTCGTGAGCAATAATCCGAGGATAAACCGCAGAATCTTCTTTCACACCACGTGTATCGGAGGCTGCAGTGTCGGAAAGTGCTTGCTAGAAAAAAAAGCGTGCGATAATTTATGGGGTTATTGAATGGTGTGGACGGCGCACCCAAGGCCACCGCCGAGTGAGAATGAAAATAATTATATGAGAGATGCACTCTCAGGTGCGCATTTAATACAATATCACGACAATAAATGCAAGTTGCAGGCGAGAATGAATGTGTCATTTGAACTGCACCCACACTTCTTGCATGTGGCGTCCCTCTCCGTTTCATCGAGCATGAAGAAGAAGAAGAAGTGTTAATGAAATGCATGCCTCCGCAGAGTTGAAGGTAAAATTATTTGCTGCGGGGGTGAAACTCAATATATTATAGCCTTGGTCGCGCATACGTGCACAGAATCACATTGAGAGTTGAGGCTTATTGGGCGTTTTGACATTGAATCTCATTTTAGTTGCAAAAAGGCAGAGTTTACGGGCTCAAAATTTGGAGTGAAATCATCCTTGGCTGAGTTTTATCTGGAAATTACGTAAACAAGAAAAAAAATGTTATATTATTTATTTCCTTCAAACACCTTCAGTACGCAAAATAATGATAACATGAAATATATCATATCATCAACAAAAATAAATAAAAAGAAAAATACACTGGCCTAAGAGGTTCACTGAAGCAGTTTTTTTTATCTCTCGGAATAAGTTTTAGCAAAACAAAAGTATTTTGCTTTAGTCAATTTTGGTGGCGCTGTTTTGCTCTACAATTACTTTTTTGGAAATGAAGCGATCGGGCTTTTCCTCGTTGCAGAAAATTGTTTTTGTATTATTTTATATTTTTTCTTGCTCATGAAATAGGGTCGCAGACCGTGACCGAAACTGGTGTTTTTGAATAAAAACAATTTTCTGCAACGAGGAAAAGCCCGATCGCTTCATTTCCATGATCATCTCCTCGAGTGTCAACTTCTTCAAACAATTACTTTTTTAAAATTAAATTTATAATATAGATAATGCGGTAAAATAAATGACAAACAAGATTCACCTTTAAAAATCGTAAAATTTTTATGATAAATGTATTTGGTATTACAATTTGCACCTCAATCAATTTATAATTCAATTAAGTATGCATGTCTAATGCTTATATTAGGACAATAACTTCATAATGCAGCTTATTTGCAATGAAAAACAATTAAAATTAAATATTAATTTACAAAATTGATTTAAATTAAAAATTTTTAAAATAAAGCTCTGAAAAATGTTTAATTCTATAATAAATGTGTAAATAAATTTAAAAAATTATAATGTGATGTTATTATTATTATTGTTTGTTTGTTTAAATTGCTACATTGTTTACCTTCAATTGTTGAAAAAGATTTATTATAAAAGAAAATTAATAGCTGGACAAAACGGCAATTTTGATAAACTGCCCAGATCAAAAAGTGCCTATTAATGAAACTTTTTTTAAGAGATTTCCTGGAGACTTGAACGTGCGTCTCGGGTCTCGAAGGACCATCAATTCTCTTATCTGCATGGGTTTTTTTTTATTGTGTTGCGAGAAAAGTTGTTGCTTGAAAATGGCCCAGATCAGGATGTCCGGCCGGCGTCTGGCCGGCTTATTACCACGAGAAACAAGTGTTTTTAATTAATGGTGTGGTGGCGTACCGAGGAGGAATGCTCAAGTTCACTGCCATGAATAGGATAACGGAGCAGCGAGCAAGCAAGCCCGAGCTCCTCCTCCCTGGCTGGCAGCAGGTATGCGTTGGGGGAACTGAAAATGAGGAAGTGTAATCACGGCCCGACGCCTGCCTGGTTAGTTGGCCTCTTGGTTGCCGAGCAGAAGGACGTGTCTGTGCGTTGTGGTCTCAAATCACGTGGATTCGCCGCAAGCACGGATTATCATTTGCCTTCCCTGAGCTGATTTTGGATTTTGCCCAGTTTGTTCTAAACAGTTTTGTGTCCCGCTTGTGACCGGAATTTTTTTGGATTTTTCGTGAACATTTTACTGCCCGAATCCGAGCAGTGCCGGTGCATGAGCTGACGACTCCAGTGAGTACCATTTATTTCGATGACCTTTTTTTCGATGCGTTCTAGAGGAGAAATTTTGAGAGTGTAATTTTCTAGTATGTTCGGAAAGTATTTTTAAAATATCAAGCAGTTCAAGTAAAATGGAAATTTGTTCCTCATTAATTAAAATTTAAATGGAATATTATTGTGTAAATTTTTTTTATTTATTTTTTTTAAACCAATTTTTTTTAAATTTTTCACTTTTAAAATCTAAATTTTTGGAAATTTAAAATACAATTTTTTGAAAATTTTGTAAATGATGCAATTTTTTTCAATTTTATTCATTCTAAAACTTTCAACATTTCTCAACTTTTTTGTTTATCAGTTTTTATTTTTTATTTTTCTCACTTGCGTCTAACTAAGTGCGTGTTCATCTCAAACGTGCCCGCTCGATTTTCCTTATGATTTACGATGGCAATTTGGAAAAGAGCGGCTCTTAAGGTTGATTGCAAAGCGCCGGTCTCGTCATCACTCAACGCCACCTTTCTCGCCCAGAAACCGGTACGAATAATTCAAAATCGCTGTTTCGCGATTATTCATCTGCGCTCGACTCCTCCCGAGATGCACTTCTCGCCCCGCAGGTGATTGCATTTTTGCTTTATTATTGTTGCCGCCAACAACAATAAAGGCGTGAGTGGTGCAAGCTGCACACACAAGAAGATAAAACCGAGCGGGCGTGCCCGCTTTATTTATCATCATCCGTCGCGAATTTATTTCTCACTCCCTCGGGGAAAGAAACGAGTAAAAAATAAAAATAAAAATCGAGCAGCTTTGTTTCGCGCAAGGGCAGGTGGATGGCTTCGTCGTTCTTTCACTCTCGACTTTTATTAAAAAGAAGAATATAATCGGCAAGGTGTTCTTCTCTTCTTCGATTTATATATATTTATTCTTCGCCGCTCTTCGAATATTCACCTGTAGTGCAGCTGCACTTGTGCGGCTGCCAAATAATATAAAACGTAATTCGACGGCGCAGGTTAACGCTCTCGGCGTCTGCCGCGGCCTTTTTGCTTCGAAATCTCTGACCTTTGGCGTACCCGTAATTGCCACCTGTCGCGCGTTTTATGATGAAAAGTTGCCCCGGCTCGATATGGCGAAGCGGCTTTTTTTCCATTTAACGGCGCTTCGCTCACTGGCCCTCCCGAGGAATTGTTAATTTTCGTCATTACACGGCGGAATCGTGTGTACATAACGAACACAGGCGGGTTTATATAAAACGGACGATGAACCGAAAGTGAATATTTTTGGCACCTTTTTGTTTCTCCGCAGCAGGCGGCTCGCGAAACATGTTTCGCAAGGTGCGAAAAGCCAACGACCTCGCCGTGTTTTATACACATAGACTCGCTCACGTAATCGAACCCGCCGCAACTCGCCTCCTCGAATTTTTTTTCCGTTTTGCATATTATTATTATCAACTGTCGGGTTTCTTCCTCGAAGGGGATGGAAAATTTCAAGGCTACGGTGGAGAATCCTTTCGATTTCGGTATAAATTTATGGGACGGCAATAAAATTGTCAGAGGCTTTTCAATGCAATTTCTTCTGGGAAGAGTTCTTTGTGGTGAAAATAAATAAAAGGGCTGCGAGCACAATCGCGCGAATCCACTCCTTTAGGGTCGCGGTAAATGACGGTCAAGGCCCCAGCGGATTCATCACGGCCACTGGCCCCTCCAGCATTGTCGCACCCGTTTTTCTCATTGTTTCAAACAATGGACGTAAAAAATCTATTCAAGCTGAAATTTGGCCCAGTTTCTTTCAGCCAAAGTGTTGCATAGAGTGAATTTTAAAGGGAAATAATTTAGCCGTTTTTTTTTTTTTAAATAAAAGTCGTAAATAATAATTTGCCGATTTAATTTCTCATTAATCTATTATTATTGTTGTTTATTTTTCCAAATTGTTAAATAACATTGTTGACATTCAATTGCTGCAAACAATTTGTTTGAAAAGAAAGGAACTGTTGGGCAAAACGGCAAGAATTTCTCTAAAACATCCGAGATAAAAAAAAACCCATGTCAGCCTCTTAATTCAAATCTTTAAATTACCTAATTTTTTTATGTAATTTTTAATTACCTGAAAAACCATAAATTTTAGGATAAATAACTCTGTCTGAAATATTAAACCAAAATTTAATTTTTCTCTCTCAATATATTAAGCATTATTATTAATTTATTAATCAAATGTCATTATATTTAAACTATTTTATTTTGCGTTGAAATATAAATAGTTTCCTCTGAATTTTCATAGAAACTTTTCCTCATTCTATAATAATGACAGTTGTCGTCGCATATATAATACAAAAATAAAACCTTGCAACGGCTTCGCGTTTTGATTCAAAGTCAGGGTCACACTTATACACATTCTCGATTCAACGCTCACTCTCATTTAGCGCACACGCACATCCCTTTAAGGCTGCTCGCGCGCATTCCAATCGAACCCAATCACCCGAATATAAATAAATAAATTTATTTCGTCCCTTTCACCCGGCGCGGCTCTAACAAGTGGTGTGACCGGGAAACAAAAAGGAATTTGCATAATTCCGCGAAGGCCGTTCGCTCACACGACGAAAAAGAGCGATGACACCGCTGACGTCACGCGGGGACATTTTTTATTTTCCGAACAAAACTTTCGCTGAACAGGAAAAGCAGCCGCGCTGGCAATGACCATCATCATCATCTCGCCGGCTGCACATACATAATTTTAATCGGCGCGCAGAGTCAATGGCCAGTGAGAGTGAACGTGGCTCACTCATTGTTGAGCGGCCGCGGTGCCATCGACCTGACTGACTGACGAGCACCGTTAGCGCGCGGCCTTTTTTGTTTCGCCAAGCCGAACCATCGCGGGCCACACACCGCTGTGCCCACTTTTTGCCCCGCGGCCAGTGTATTTTTCTAACCGCAACTGCTGATTTTTTTTCTCCTTTTTTCATATGTATCGGACCGGCAGACGAATAAATTTCATCCCACTGGCACTTTTGCCCAAAGTTTAATAACGTCTCTGCTGTGCAGACGCCGGATCATGTGCAGCTGTTTTTCCACTGCTCTTGGAAACTTTTCAACTTTGAAAACTTATCCGTATACGAGAGAGAGAGAGAGAGAAAAGGACCCTCTCTTGTTCATTTTATATATACGGACGGCGAGAAAAGCGGGAGAAATTTTAATCACGCAGATTGTTCTGGAAGATGAAAGAGAAAAAGAAAAGCTGCAGTGCCTCTTTCTGGATTCATTCCGAGACTGTTAGATAGGTCAAAGCGGAGCAATTTCACTCCGAGCGCTATGACGCAGTTGGGCCTCGAATATAATAAATGTAGGACCATGACCAGAAAATTCGTCAGCGCGCGAGAGAAAGCCGTGGCAGTGATAATGAAAAAAGGAGTCGACGCATGACGACTCGGCTCGTTGCGCGTGACGTCATTCCAAATTAAGACTAAATCAAATACAAATTATTAAAATAAATTTATAAATATTTGATAGTTTCCAAATTATTGTTATTAAAAACTTAAGTAGGATTGACTGCTGTTAAAAATAAATTTTCAATTTTTTTTTATGCAGATCAATAAGCAGATTTTTTTTCTTTTAATGTTTATCGCTTGTCATTATATGTGAAAACGATTTTAAATTGTTAAATACTATAAAATAATTTATTTAAAATAATCTATTTAAAATGATGAAGATTAAATATTTTTCTATACATGTATTTAATTTTTTGATCTGAGTATATTTATTGATGCGCGCGCATTTTCTTGTTCATCCATCCCGTGACTCAACCGCAAAATGGAATAATTAGCGATCGCATGTGTTTTAGCTGGCACGCTGCCCAGATCAGTCAATGATCCCGCGCAGCGTCATTAATTCACATCCATTACTCTCAATTGCAGCACATTTTTATGCTTTGCATAAATTATTTTCCTCCTCTCTTTCTCTCTCCTCGATCGAGTTGCCCCGCGACTCTCTTTTTCCGAGACACGACTTTTCGCAACTCGCGCAGCAGGGCAGTGTCACGCAAAGGACCGCGAGCCGAGTGAGTTATGGCAAGGGCACTTTGCCAGATGAGAATTCCGCGCGCCGCGGCAAGGCCATTTCATTTGCTTGCAGCGGGAATTTTTGGGTCGCCGAGCTGCAAAATCAAACAGAGTCGCCCTTTGGGCTTTACAGTTAGTTTCACCCCTAAATGACTTTGTTGCACTTTCGGAACATTAGTCACGTTTTCTAGATCCAAAGGACGCAGTTCAAAAATTTATATATGGAAAAAATAAAATATTTTCATGAGGAAGAAAGAAATAAAGAGATTTCTAAACAAAGCACCCTATATAACTGTCTGAGCGAGGGTAAATAAAAAAAATTGTTTTTGAAAGCGAGTGTTATTATCCTCTAGATAAGTTTTTTTATCTATCCTGACCTAAGCGCTGCAGACAGGATGCATCTCGAAAATATTCCCAGGGCCCTCCAAAGTTCATCGCCCTCCATTCGACCTCTAAAAAAGTGACGGTGGACAAAAAAATACTCTGGGGATAATTTTTTTGCTCCCTGTTATTTTTTTATTATTATTTCAACCCCCTGCAGGTCTGCGGAGAGCAATGAAAGGTGGTGCTCGCATTTCATTCCGATATCCTCCGCCCCTGATTTATTTTATATGTATTTATCGAGCAGGAATAATATACCTGCTGACTGATATTCAAGCGGCGGCGGCGGCGCAAACTCACACTTGTAACGGTACCGTGATGATGCATTAAATCAGGGCCTGCCTTGTGAGGTAACTCAACAGGCAGCCACAGGGAAAAGGTTGGCCGCTCCCCCTCCCATAGTAACGGGACCGATCGCTTGCTCGCTTTTTGAGCCGCGTGTTTATACATAAAAAGCGGTTTACTCACAACGCAGGCAGCGCCGCCCGACAGGAAAAGGAAAATTAGACACAATGCGTTCGGTCCCGTTGCGGCCTTTGTCTTCGGCAAAAAACACTTGTACTTTCGATTTTCACGCTCAGAATGAAAA